ACCAGCAGGGAGTGGGATGGGGCTGGTGCCCAGGCGAGGGGAGAGGTCCCCCGGGACCCCACAGGGGAGGGCTGGAGGGGCATAGGGGCAGGGAGTGGGGGGAAAGAAGTGGAGATGCCCCCTGCCCACCATGCCCTGCCTGCTCACCGTCCGGCCCACGCAGGCGACGGAGCGCCCAGCAAAGCGGCTGGCGACATCCCGGTTCACCTCGTCGCTCAGGAGGTCCTCCCAGCGCCCATTGCGGAGTTTGAAGAGCTTGTCCGTGTAGGTGGCCATGCCTGGGGGGTGCACGGGTCAGGGGGCTGCAGCATCCAGCCTCCTCCCGAGGAGGGTGCCCTGCGGCAAGGGGAGGCTGTGGAAGGGGTACCCTTTTCCCAGAGCATCCCAAACCCCTGCTTTGTCCCCCTGCAGCCCCTAGCAGCACCATGGGGCTGAGCTGCTGCTGCAAGACGCCCTGTGACCCTTAAGAGCCGCCAGGAGACACACAGAAGAATCAACTCATTAAGGTAAAATGTGTCCCAATGGGGTACAGCCCCGTAGATCATCCCTGGGAAGGTAAAAAAAAAAAAATCGATGCAGTGCCAGGCACAGGCAGTGAGCCACGCTGCCCGTGACAGCAACGATGGCAGCGCCTGATTTAGGGACAGGTGTGCCGGCAGCTGCCGCCAGCCCGGGTAATTAGGAGCATCAGGAAGACAGATCCATTGCGTGGAGGTCAGGGAGTTGGGACAGGGACACAGAGCAGAGCTGGCCTGGAACACTGACCCAGGGAGCTCTGAGGATGCCCAGTGCCGGGCTGGGGCACACAGGTCTCCCCCTCCCATGACAGACATCCCGGGAGCTGGAACAGCACCAGCAGGGCAGGATTAGACCTGGCTTGGTCCAGCAGGCATGAAGGAGCCATGGCATAGAGGGGCACAGCTGGGATTTGCAGCGCAGTGTTCCTGTGGCAGGGCAGCCCCAGGGATGTCGGGGAAGCTGCTGTCCCACTTGGGGTGCCACAGGGAGGGCGATGGGCAGCTGGAAGTGCTGACTCAGCGGCTGGGTGGGGTCGGGGGCCCGCCCGCCCTGGCATCCAAATAA